AAATACTTTCTTTGGTGTCATGCAAATATTCATGTATTTATTCTTCAGTTACTCACATAAGAGAGATAATTAGGATACTTTTGGATGAGTTGGACTGATGCAAAAGTGACACCATCATATGGAACATTACCAGGTCTATCAGTTTTAAATATGCAGCTCTTGATTATTTTAATTTGAGGGAATTTTCATTATTTAACATTTTACAAATAAAATGTATCACTATTATTATATTGAAACATAAACTTTCATGATTCAAATTAACACAAAGTTCAATTTACTATATCTACTATTTTGGAAGCCCAGGAAATTGCTGTAAATCAGGTTTCTGTGATTTGTAGTTTAGAATATTTACACCCCATAGCATGTCAATTTATTCATGTAAGTTTTATTGAATATCCATTATATATCAGGTTATGCTTAGTGCCAAGGGAGATGCATGGACTTCTAATTCATGGTCCCCTCTGGTGAGAAACAATATCTAGTTGAAGAGAGAGACATATAAATGAATTGATAATATTAAATGGGCCTGCTCCCGGGAGTCAGAACCATGTGTGTTTAAATTCCAGCTCCAGGACTCAGATTTCACATATTTAAAATAGATATAAAATCTACCGTAATTATAATAAAATATAAATCCTGTAATAAGTCAAGTTCAAAGAATGAAGGGGGCATCAGAGAAGGAAATAACTAACTCTATGCAGGGAAATTTCCTCAAAGAAGGTGACATTTGAGTTGAATTAAGCAGATAAACAAGAGAGAGAAAGACATACCAGGTAGAAGGGAAAAGCATGCATGAAAAAGCATGGTTTGTTCATGAATACTATGAAGTGGAAACTGATTAGAGTATCAAAGGAAAGGTGAAAAAAATATTGAAACCATAGTGAGTCACTTAATAAAGTGACCTAGAGGAACAAAAAGAGTTGTTAGATGAGACGATAAGGTAGAAATGATGTGATTCATGTGTAATTCCCATATATCCAGCACATCAGTTATAAAACAGCAGTCTTATCACACTCTCAGCTGCCCCTTCATAAACCAAATCTCTAAAACGTTAACAATAGTAATAAAAATAACTGAGCTCATGTTGCTCAACTCTGAAAGGCACCCTTCACATTTTATTCTACAGTAATGATGTCCTCTGGATTTATGCAGCACCAGCATGGGTCTATGTGAAGTATACTAATTTATCAATTAAGATTTAGAATAATGAGTAGAGAAGTGATACTTACATACTTCCTCATTGTCTGCTCAATGAACATGAAGATTCTTCCCAATGTCCTGGCACCATACCTTCTTGTTCAGGTCCAGGTACCACCTCTGTTTTGGTACTATCTTCTGTATTGTCAAATGCATCTCCTTCCTGGCTAATTTCATATCTACCATCTCAACAAAAAAGGTAAAAATGTTGTTATTTCTCATGATGTGATGGCTCCTTGGAGCTTATTTGCATTGAAACAAATAAATCCTCTTGCCACTATAGTTCTCAATTCATTTCTTTAATTTAATCTGGTTACATCATTATTCATGATGATTTAGCATCCAGCATATCACCATGAATTCTGGCTTCCAATGACTCTCTTAAACGTTATTATTGTGCTTCACTGACGATAACCACAAATGCAAGTCTCTGGTTATCTTAAACTCACCATTACAACTTTCTTAGCATACATATAGATCAACACATCTTCCAACCATGTTTTTTCCTGAACTCTTAGATCATAATCACTGCATTTTTAGAATGTGATCTCTTTCAATGTTAACTGCACTCCTGGCTTCCACACACAACCATCAACTGGGAGGATGGGTGAGAGACCTGGGGTGAAGCAAGAAGAGTGACTCTATTCTTGCAAGGGGTGTTTGGCAGGGCTCAAGACCAACCCAGGGGAGCACAATGTAACCACAGTGATGAAGGCAAGAGAGAATGTTGACTGGCAGGGTCCAGGGGCATTACGGAGGAATGATCTCCAAAGCCCTTGGAAGAGATAGATATATCCACCCCTAAAGACTATAGGAGGCTTTATGTGGAGATTGTGGAGGAATTGGAGTGACCACCCTGGGTGCCAGCATCAGGGAGCACATTGAATAAAGGACACCTGCCAGAACCCTGCCACCTTTGTGTACTGTAAACAGAGGCTGCCCTATCGGGACACAAACAACAAAGAGCTGCTGGATGGGACCACACATGCAGCTCAAGCCTAAGGGTCAGTTAACAGCCCAGACCCCAAACTCCTCTTGTGTCCAATGTGAGTCACACAAAACTCATCAGTCATGACCTTACTTAAGTGGGTAGAGGGGGAATGGAGTTGACCTAAGTAACGCTGGAAAATGATATTTTGACTGGAAATTGCACTTGCCAGGCCAGCCTCTCAGAACCAGAGAGGGCCTTGGGCTCCGGGATCACTCTTAGACTCAAGTGTCTGAATTCCCCTCAGGAATCTGATTGACCCCGTGTGCAGCGGGGAAGCAAGGCTCTTGGAGTTCTGCAGTCTGGAGAGTCATTCTCCAAAATTTTCAAGTCCCCTTTCAGTGCCTGGGCTGCAATGCCATCCAGACAGGGCATGTAGATCCTGGTCCCATGTGGATCCAGTTCTGTGGAAATGTCTTAATCAAAATTTTCAAGGTCTGACTCCAGGACTTTCCAGGAGCCCACCATCTCCATTTCTCCCCTTAAAGGCTCTCTTTGAGCTTTTTGATGATAGCAACAAATGTGGAAAAACATTTGATACAGTCAATATCAGGTCAAAACAGGGGTTGAGGGCCAATAGGGAGGGAGTGTGGAGCCTTTTTTAACTTGGTACAAAAATCTTTGTAAGCATCATACTTAAAACTGTAAAGCATTATTATTAGGGACAAAATAAGCAAGTTGTGAATAATGTACAGTATGAAACCAACTTTATAAAAATTTTAAAAATACACAAACCAATAAGGTTATAAATGATTTTTAAGTATGTAATTGATAGACAATGATCTAATATCAGTGGCAACCTCTAGGAACAGGGAAAACAGGCTCAGTGTTGAGTGCAACATCTTAATTTTTTTATAAGAAAATTTCACCTTCTAACTGTTGCACTTCCTCAGTTCAAGATATCTTAATTATTCATTAGTGTACATTTGTCCAGACCTCTTTTTTTTTTAATTTGTTGTAACTTTAATTTTTTAATTTTTTATTTTTTTAACATCTTTATTGGGGTATAATTGCTTTACAACAGTGTGTTATTTTCTGCTTTATAACAAAGTGAATCAGTTATACATATACATATGTTCCCATATGTCTTCCCTCTTGCGTCTCCCTCCCTCCCACCCTCCCTATCCCACACCGCCTACAGGGAGGTACTTAAAAAACTATAAATAGAACTACCATATGACCCAGCAATCCCACTACTGGGCATATACCCTGAGAAAACCAAAATTCAAAAAGAGTCATGTACCAAAATGTTCATTGCAGCTCTATTTACAATAGCCCGGAGATGGAAACAACCTAAGTGCCCATCATTGGATGAATGGATAAAGAAGATGTGGCACATATATACAATGGAATATTACTCAGCCATAAAAAGAAATGAAATTGAGCTATTTATAATGAGGTGGATAGACCTAGAGTCTGTCATACAGAGTGAAGTAAGTCAGAAAGAGAAAGACAAATACCATATGCTAACACATATATATGGAATTTAAGAAAAATAAAATATCCAGACCTCTTAGTCCTCTCTTCCAATAATGCTTCTCCAAACTTGTTAAACTTCTTACATTCTTCTTGTATTGTCATCCTAAACTGTCTTAAATTTCTTCTAGGATCATTTTTTTTCCTAATTCAGTTAACTACCCTAGTCCTCCTTATCCATGGCTTCACTTTCTGCCATTTCAGTTACTCAGGTCAACACGGTCCAAAAACATTTAATAGAAAATTCCAGAAATAAATAATTCATAAGTTTTAAATTGCACACTGTTCCAAATAGCATGATGGGATCTCGTGCTGTCCTGTCCTGGACATGAATTAGCCAGGACAAGAATTATCTCTGTGTCCAGCATATCCCACCTGTTAGTCACTTAGTAACCCTCTCAGTTATCAGGTCAACTGTCATGGGACACAGTGCTTGTGTTCAAGTCGCCCTTATTTTACTTAATAATCGCCCCAAAGTACCCCAAAGTACAAGGGTAATGATGCTGGCAATTCACGTCTGCCAAAGAGAAGCCATAAAGTGCTTTTAAGTGAAAAGGTGAAAATTCTCAACTTAATATGGAAAGAAAAAGAATTGTATACCGAGCGTGTTAAGATCTATGTTAAGGACATATCTTTTATCTGTGAAACTGTGAAGAAGGAAAAAGATATTCATACTAGTATTGCTCTCACACTGCAAACTGCAAAAGTTATGGCCACAGTGCGTGATGAGTTCTTAGTTAAGATGGAAAAGGCGTTAAAATTGTACGATAAGGTATTTTGAGAGAGTGACACCACATTCACATAACTTTTATCACAGTATATTGTAATCATTGTTCTATCTTATTATTAGTTGTTGTTAATCTCTTATTGTGCCTAATTTATAAATTAAGCTTTATCATAGGTAGGTATGTACAGGAAAAAAAACATAGTATATATAAGATTTGGTACTCTCTGCAGTTTCAGGCATCCACTGGGAGTCTTGGGACTTATACCCTGCAGATAAGGGAGGACTACTATATCCTTACAATCCTCTCTATCTTTTTGGTCCCCCACCTTTATAATTGAGTCTTAGTAGTAAGAAGAAGCCATGTTTTGTATGCCTTACCTATACCACAGTTTCTATTCTTTTATCCAGAATTATCATAATGCTAAAATATTACATTGGGTGCTTATAATCCATAACTCAGAACAGTATTAATGTTTCTTTTACATAATTAACCCATAAGGAACTAGAAGTCCTCCAGTGAAATGGGGAGAGAACAGTGGAACTTTCATAGCACCTACAAAATTTTCAGGATGGCAACACATCTTTGAAAAATAACAGTCATGGATAATTATGTTAGATTCTTTTCATTTTTTTATTAATTGTAGCACAGAGAAAAGAGGCAAAATATTTAAAGAAATTTGTGTTCTTAAGACAGGGTGTTGGTTAACAGCAACAGAAAAGAAAAACAGATGAATAAGCTCTGAGTTTTCATTTCTCTTTTTTTCCTCTTACTCTCAGGGTAGGCTGAAAAACAAAAAGATAAATATAATTACTGTTTATAAAATGGCATGTGTTTTTTCAAATCTCTTCAAATGAATGCCAAATTGCTTAGATTGCCTTTCCGCAATTTCCACCAATGTAAACAATTCAAGCCTGTCCTAGATTCATGGCAGCTGAATTCTTCTGTTGGACTAGGGGAGAGGACACAGCAATGAGGATTGTAAAGTCCTCTCTTCGTCACACAGGCTTTTCATCATTAACTCTCAGGGTCATTTACTTAACTCCTACTTTTTTTTTTTTTTTTTTTTCCCGCAACACGCAGTGGGATCTTAGTTCCCGGACCAGGAATCAAACTCGTGTCCCCTGCAGTGGAAGCATGGAGTCCTAACCCTGGACTGCCAGGGAATTCCCAACACCTACTTCTTACTTAAGTTAATTACAAACAAAAAAGTTGTCTTCTCAAAGTTAGATCTCTAGGAAGAAAATCTTGCCATTTAGGACTAAAACAAATCACATTTTGAAATGCCCAAATTTGCAAAGATATGAAGTTGGTTCCTTTCCTGAATGCACAATATGAAGGTTTTACCATATAGGCAAAGAGCAAGTTAAAATCTAATAGTGGAATAAACATCACAGTTTAAAAAATATGAAAATAATTCATGCTAAAAAATAGTCGGACAAATTGTTTCAAAAAGGAAGTTCATTCTATTTTTTACTATAATTTCCCCCAAAATACTATACCAAAATGGGTAAAACATGTTTATGTTCAAACATCTAAATTTTAAAGTGGGCCTTTTTGTCATAAGAAGAGAAATTCTCTTAAAGCTCAGCATGTTGACACATTGGAAACTTAGTAGCAAATTATTTACTTGTAATAAAAGTTCACATAAGGTAGACCTATCATATTCTCCAATGAAATGAATTTGTTCTTGAGCTATATGGTTGAACCATATGAAATCATTGATATTGAACTGTTTTTGTACATACAAAAATGCACTTTCATATGGTCCAGCCTATTGCCTAAAGTTTCCCACTCCTGAGCCAGTACGTAGTAGAATGACTGTCTTCTGTGTCACATTGGGTCAGAACAGGCCAGTGGTTAACTCTCAAGCCCTGGTTTGAATCTTTAATTTTGGCTCCGTGGTTGGGTAGTCCTTGGGTAAATTATTTAACCTATTTCTTGATCTATGCCTTCATTTTCTCATCTGCAAAATGGGAATAATAATGGTACTCAACTCAGGCAACTATTTTGAGAAGTAAAGAAGTTAATATATATAATCAGTTTAGAACAGTGGTTAGCACTGGTCAGTTGATCTTTGCTATTTTAATAATAACTATTAAAATTAGTTTTAAAAAAAAATCTAAAGTGTAGTTACCTGAGATGCTTGTGGTTGTGTTCTTTTTAGGCTATGGCTTCTCGAGTTGTAACAACAAGTTTTGGACCCTAAATACAAAGAAATGACAGATGTGGGGAAAATATTAGCACCACTATTAGGGTAAAAAAGTAACATTTATACAGCCATTGGTGATTACAAAGTAATTTTATGTACATCATATCCCTTAATAACAGTTTAGTATTAGAATCTCTAGAAGGAAGCTCACCAGCATCATTGCCCCCAAAGGAATAAAAAAATTACTGTCAAGTCATAGGGGGAATATTAAATGATTCAGACATCTAAATATAAATTTCCACACTAACCTGTAAAATAAACATTCAGATTCAACCAAATCACAAACCAGCATTTTCAAGAAAATGTTTAAATAAATTAATGCTTTGGTTTGATGATGTCTCTACCAAAACATCTCAGGCTTTAGAAATATTTCTATCTATATTCATAAACATCACAACTTTGGAAACAGAACAAACATTACAAACAGTAATAAACTACAGTGCAGCAGGAGATTTAAAAGAAAAAAGAGCTCTTTCAGTCATTTGGTAAGACAATTGTATGAAGAATAAGATTCCTGTTCTACATGCACATAATGCCTTTCAGATACTTCAACCACTAACCCCTAGCTTGATCAAATGCAACAGCAAAGGAAATTAGACACGTGAAAATGAAGGCAAACAACTCCAGTACCTCCAGAGCAAAGCAGGCCTCTTTGTCATCGGCTGCACAGCATTTGTCTACAAAAGCTGCAAAATTCCCCATAACAGTTTTCAGTTGTTCCTCTGTTACCTTGGGTTTGTGTTTTACCAGCTCAACGAGTGCACTGCATTTGAATGAAAACAAACAAACAAACAAACAAACAAAATATGGAAAAAATGTTTACTCACTACAGAAAAATGGAGATGGTAAAAATGGTAGCACTGCTACTTAAGATGCTAAGTCTTAGAGCCAGACAACTCTGGACCTGAGGCCCAGGCTTACCATTATAAGCTTCAATATTCTTACTTGCATAATGAGGATAATAAAATCCACCTTCGCAGGGTCAGTGGAAGGATCAAATTAAGTAATCAATGTAAATTGCTCAACATTTGTAGTGTCAGTAAATCTCAACAAATCATTCTTCAGTAAATCACTGGAAAGGATGATGTCATTGCATTTATATGTTATTCAGATTTTGGAAGTAATGCCATATGGAAGTTTTAAAATTTGAGAGTTAAAAATGACCCTGAAAAACTTACTTATCTTGGGCTCCATTTAAAAAGTTTCTAATCTGAGAATCTTTATATTTGGTTTTTGTAATCTGCCCATTCAAAGTTAATAGTGGAGCGGCCATAGGAAATAAACTATCCAATTCATGGGAGTGGGTGGTTCTCTTTCACTGACATCTACAGAGACAACAGTGCTAGAGAAAGAGTCATATGGGCATGACAGGTTTTGCAATATTACTTTTAGGTCTATGTCCATGATCAGAATCCACCAGAGATAATAGCAAATTTATGTTGCTAAATTTCATGCAATTATAACCCCTTGTGACAGCAATAGGGAGTCATGCCTCAGAACTCTAAATCCCAGATATTTTTAATCCAAGTTCCATTCTCAAAAGTCAGGTCTTGAGGGGTTGCCTTGTCTGTGCGTTGCCATAGAACAAACTGAAAATAACCATTCATGCCTAGAATTAAATTTTCATATGATTTCTACTAACTAATTTGCTATCTGCAAAAATGCATCAGTTCAGTTTTTTCTACTGGACCTAGCCTAAGCTGTTATTCTACTGCAGTTTTTATCCACAAGATTATTCTGAATGGTACTTTTTTTTTTTTCTTTTGCTAAGAAAACAAAATGCTATCCATTTTATTCTTGACACTTTTATCTGCTTAATAAGGTCAATACTTAAGTATTTAAGGTATATAATCACTACTTAAGGAAAAGTTGCTCATTTTAATTTACAATTCTCACTATCAAGACTACAAACACATGCAGTAATGAAGTACTCCTCACATTTGTTTCTTGATTTGTTTCTCATTCTCGGGAAGTGTGCATAAATCTGCATGGAAGGTGAATGTTTTCTCATCAAAGGCTTTGGGTTCATATGTTTCATCAAGTGTCAGAGCAGAAAAGCATGGCCGTCTGTTCACCAAGGACTCCGTGCAGCATTTGGTAACTCTTTCGCTCACTGGTGTCTTCTCGTGCAACACGCACAACCGGTTCAGGACCAAGGACAGCTAAAATCAGGCAGGAGAGCAGAAGTTCAAAGGAAGCATAATGAAAAGTTTTCCATGAACTCCTACCTTCCAAAGGACCAAAACAAATGTTATATAATAACTAGCAACATTGAATCCTAGGTTGATTTGAGAAAATGATTTGCTTATTTTTAGAACTACAAATAATAAGGGACTTTGAAGTCTTCTCTTTTAATTAAATATGTCTACATTTTAAGAATAATTTATTGAGAAAATAATTGATTAAATAATTTGAGGTGAATCCTGATATATGTCTTGGAGTAGGGAAGAAATAGTTCTATACATTAAAGATCCAATGATGCAAAGCAAAAATAGAGGGTAGGGCTTCCCTGGTGGCGCAGTGGTTGAGAGTCTGCCTGCCGATGCAGGGGACACGGGTTCGTGACCCGGTCCGGGAAGATCCCACATGCCGTGGAGCAGCTAGGCCCATGAGCCATGGCTGCTGAGCCTGCGCGTCCAGAGCCTGTGCTCCGCAACAGGAGAGGCCACAACAGTGATAGGCCCGTGTATCGCAAAAAAAAAAAAAAAAAAAAAAAAAAAAAATTAAAAAAAAGATCCAAAGAAAGTAAAAATTTAGAAAATTCCAGGATGGAACATTAAAAGTTCACAGAATTTTTTCAAAACAGTTTATCATTTTTGGAATCTTATCTAAAACCTCTTTCTGATGGTCAGGATAAGACAGCTGACCAAATCCTGGCTGCCATTACCATATACAAAACACACACACACACACACACACACACACACATTAGCCCACTCTTGCTTCTGAAAGTTAGCTTTGTCAATATCTAAAAGCAAAAATTCATCATTATTAACTTTATTATATTCTAAAAGACTCACATAGTCTTCAGCACAGGACATTCTTTCTGATTCAGGATGCTTACAACACTTAGAGCCCACTCTTCCTAGGTTTCTTGAGACCTCCACGAGAGTTGGAGTTGACACTTGGGGTACTTTCTTGGTGTAACGAATTATGAGCCTATAACAACATAATCCATGTGTTTTCAGCCAGGGAAGAAACTGTCTTTTTCTAACACATCAGGTCAAGCAGAGGTCACTTAGCCAAAATCCACTAAGATGGTTTTCCATTCATAAAATTATCATCTCCAGGTTGGCGGGGTAATGTGGGAGAAGACCTTGTCCTGAGCAACTAATTAAGCCTAGCTTTGAATCCACCTGTGCTGTATAATCTTAGGAAAGTGGCTTACCTTATTGTAATTCAGTGACATTAAGATATTTATTTATTGCTTCTTTCTTTCAATAAAACCTACTGAGAGCTTAACATACATCAGCACTATACTAAATTTGAAAGACATGGATGAAATTTCTCACCCATGAAATGGAAGGAAATATATCTGACTCAAAAGGGATAGTGCAAGGGTTAAATTAAAAGGAGCAAAGCATGCAATCAACCTGATGTGGTATCTAGCATGTAATAATCATTTACTAAGAATGCTAATCACCATTGAAAGCCAATGTATGACCATAATCTACTCAAGGGAAGAGACTATGTCTTGTTCATTGTTGTTATTCCTAGCACCTATAGGTAGAAGAGTGTTAACATGTGTAAGCTGAACAATAAATAACTAAATGATGTGTCCCTTCCTGTCTTAACTTCCACAGATAAGGCTCTGTGAAGCATTGCTATATTTTGTTTGCTCATAAACTATTTCTTAACTTTCAAATGGCATCCTCAGTTCCTATATCCCAAGATTTGATATTTTTCCTCCCAGACTTAAGAGCCCAATTTTCTAAAGTGCACTCAAACATAGGCCTCTTCATCCCATCAACTATTTTATTTAATTTTCTCTGGTCTTTCTTGATGGGGAGTGATTAGAAATGATACTTTATTTTCAAGATTAAAAGTTCTATGATAGGGCTTCCCTGGTGGTGCAGTGGTTAAGAATCCACCTGCCAGTGCAGGGGACATAGGTTCGAGCCCTGGTCTGGGAGATCCCACACGCCGCGGAACAACTAAGCCCACGCACCACAACTACTGAGCCTGCGCTCTAGAGCCTGCAAGCCACAACTACTGAAGACTGCATGCCTAGAGTCCGTGCTCTGCAACAAGAGAAGCCACCACAATGAGAAGCCCGCACACTGCAACGAAGAGTAGCCCCTGCTCTCCGCAACTAGAGAAAGCCCGTGTGCAGCAAGGAAGACCCAAAGCAGCCAAAAATAAATAAATAAAATAAATAAATTTACTTTAAAAAAAAGTTCTGATAGGTGGTCTATAAATTGGCTTAAATATTTATTAAATGAACATGAAAAATTTAGTCAATAAGCAAAAATACTTACGCATTTTGGAATTGGTACTCTCCAAGTTTTTCAAAAAGTTCACAGTTTTGTTTAATTAAATTCTTAGGCTCCTCCACAAGAGGCTGAAGTTTCTCAAACTGAAAAATAAAAGAATTGTGTTTACAACATTCTCCCTGAGGACCAGATGCAGGTTGTTTTTCATCCTTCTAGGCATAATGAGATCCTTCCTCCTTTCTGCCCAAAGCCATGAAAATAGATTTTTGATGTCAAATCTATTATAATATGTCCAAACTGTTTATTTGATGAGACCGTATGAGATAAGTGATTAAGAACATTCAGACTCTGGAGTGCAACTGCTGATGTTTGAGCCAGGCCAACCTGACTCATGTTCTAGTTGTGCAACTTTACTTCCCATCTCAAAGCTTTAGAACCCTCATTTTTAAGATGGTGATGAACATGGTACTCACCTCAGAGAACTGCTCTTGTAGACTACCTGAGCTAATGAAATTAAAACATAGCCTGGAATATAGTAAAAACTCAGTAAATGATGGCTATGATTGTAAGTATCATCATTATTAAGCCATCTCTCCAGTTGGACCCTGAGCTTTCTGAGATAAGAGATTTTACCTTGGTCATCAGTTCCTGTGTGGCACGTGGCATATAACCAGTTTCTTGGTAGAGGAAAAAATGACTTTCCTCTGATTCTTAAGTTTGCACACCACTATATGTGCTAGGAGTACTAAATATCTCAAACATGATAAAATTCTATTTTAGCATAGCTAAATATGCGAAATATTCTCAAAACAGATTTCCTCTCAGCACTTAATTTCTTGTAAAACCATTCTTAAACTGTCTCAAAAAAGGATTTGAAAATATTCTAAAGTACTAGATTTCACAATCTTTCTTATGATACTAATTCTTGATACTTAATAAAACTTGGAGGTTAACTTTATATCTAAGTTAAATCTCTTAACATTTAAATTTACTTTATTTTGTTCTCAGGAGTGTAAAAAGGAGAAAAAGCATGGTCAAGATTTTGTGAAATTAGGGCTTCCCTGAAGGCGTAGTGGTTGAGAGTCCGCCTGCCGATGCAGGGCACACGGGTTCGTGCCCCGGTCCGGGAAGATCCCACATGCCGCGGAGCGGCTGGGCCCGTGAGCCATGGCCGCTGAGCCTGCGCGTCCGGAGCCTGTGCTCCGCAATGGGAGAGGCCACAACAGTGAGAGGCCCGCGGACCGCAAAAAAAAAAAAAAAAAAAAGATTTTGTGAAATTAGAGATTGCTCTCTTTGATCTTTCTATTTAAGGCTATTATTCCTATAATGTTTAAAAGCACAGAGTTGAAACCATCTTAAGAAAAAATCTAAATTGCACTATGTAACATTCTTGCGTTATTTTTCTTTCCTGTTATTAGAATCATCAGTTAAAGAGCTATATTTTTTTTCCTTCCAGAAACCTACCACTGTGGCATAGCATGCAGGAGGATCATCTTTGGCACAGCAATCCTCCAGTGTGGCTTCATATCCCTTGGCAATTCTCAATAGCAATGAGACAGAGTACTCAGGATGCCTTCTCGCATATTCATACAAAAACCTAATTAAGATGACAATAAAATAGATTTAGTTGGACAAATGAGCAAGAAAAACTACATAATTGGGACTTCCCTGGTGACCCAGTGGCTAAGTCTCCGCACTCCCAATGCAGGGGGCCCGGGTTCGATCCCTGGCCAGGGAACTAGATCCCACATGCATGCTGCAACTAAGAGCCAGTGCAGACAAATAAATAAGTAAATAAAACATAAAAAAAAAAACACCATAATTAACCACAAAATTAACTCATATCCTAAAGGTCTGAATTTGACTAAACGCCATGCAGTAAAGCTTAGTGGCTAAGGACTTGGGAGTTCAGAGTTAAAGCTATCAAATCCTGGCTCTGCCACTTATTTTATTATACCACCTTAGGCAACTTATTAAAACTATCAAGACTTTGTTTCCTCCTCTGTGGAATGGGGATAATAATAGTACCTATCTCATAAGGTAAACTGTAGGAAATAGATGACGTAATCTATGTGAAACACATGCGGTCTGGCACATGTTAAATATCTGAGGAATGACACCCGTTACTATTAGGTATAATTTGTTTGATTCGGACTACACCTCAGAAAGGTTCTGATAGATTAATAGAGTTATATTCTTAATTTTTTTTCCTCTCTGTATGAGTAAATTCTTGATGGGTACATAATTTTATGAAATATTATTTAGTGCACGGAATACTATTATAATTGAGCAATAAAAATGCAAAGTTTATCACTACACTTACTGACTTTATATAATCATCGATTTTGTCATTTAATTGCTGTCATTTAACACTGCCTTGCCATGCTACCACGCTTCTGGTCTTTTTAACCAAATATAAAGCACCTGGTAACATTCTACTTCTCTTTATAGTGCTTTGCTGACATCAGATATATCAATAGATAGGTAGACAGATAGACATAGAGACATAAAGATGTATTACATATATTCACAGATATATAAGTTCAAGAAATATTCTTTGAATGAATGCATTAATGGATAATATGTATATAATTTATGTATACACAAAATATTTCTACAGGTATTTCCAGAAATATTCCTAAGGAGTAAGGAATGAAATGGGGGTGTAAAAATGAACTTTTATTATTACTTTGTACTCTTCTTTGTTAATTGAGCATCTGTTATATGCATGTATAATTTTACAACAATTTTTTAAATTAATTTTTTCCAAAAATGTTTAAAGACTGGGAGAAGAAAGAATAAAGAAACATTGTAGGCAACATGAAGATTGTAGCAATTCCAAAGGAAAGCCTAGAATAATTTCCTAAATCCTGAGACCATATAAAACTATGAAAGATCATTCCTTATCCACTTACGTGCCCAGGAAGACATCTTTTGCTTCATTATAGTTTTTGCAAACTTCCTTATCTTCAGCAAAATCAGCAGCTAATGGGGACAGGTTTTCAGGCAACTCATCTTTTTCCACCTCTGCAATGCAGTGGGATTTTTCCAACAGAGGCTTATCACAGCACTTCTTCAGTTTAGTGGAGATTGTAGCTTGATTTTCACATATATACTTGGCAAGATTCGCCTACAAGCAAGTTGATGGAAACTGTTCAACGTAAATTGACTTTGCTGTGCTTCCTCCCTAGACTTTTACTATGTTGGCAGAACAAGTTCATTTTACTCTAAGACCATACATATACCAACCTGCCTTCTGTGAATATTTTCAGTCTGTGCTGCTAAGTCTAGAAACACAGATAGAACTACTAAAACATTTCCACTTGATTTGAAAAAAACTAGTCAGTAAAAAGGTCTCATATCTGTTATTTATTAATTTTATATTTCTACTGTTAAAGCATTTAAATTTTAAACTAAAACTCAGTACTGTTTTTCCAAATATTCCCCACAAATTAAGTGCAGGCATCTTGAAACCAAAAAACTAAAGTGTTACAGATTTTTGAAAAATTAGTCAAGATCATAGTCACAGACCCTACTTACACATGTAAAATATCTGCCTTAAATTTTCCAGAAAGTGTACTAAGAGATTAGTATCCTGGTATTTGGTATATTTTTCAGTTTGAGAAAAAGATATGCTAAATATTTGTATTTTTAACACAGACAGTTGAGAGAATATAGAGCAAAAAGTTACATAATTTCCAAAGGTCTCTTCAGATTCTAGCCTTTCTCCAACTCCTCCCACCTCCTTAAAAAATCTTCTTACAAATCTACCTTTGTAACTGTCTTACTTCAGTTTTAAGCTTTTGTTCTCAGAATATGAATGAAAGGGATTACAAATTACTGAATGAGTTTATCAGATCACTTACTGAGTAGGAGAAAGAAAGAAAGAAAGAAAGAAAGAGAGAGGAAAGAAAGAAAGAAAGAGGAGAGAGAGAGAAAGAAAGAAAGGAAGGAAGGAAGGAAGAGAGAAACAAAGAAGGAAAGAACCACAAGGCAAGGCAAGTATTGAGCAGATTAGAGCATAGAAAACTATCTCAAACCACTCTCAGTTCTGATGCTAAACATTGATTCTACCAACTTAAGCAAGTAAGTTACCAAAAGGTATACTGAGGATTCTTTACCCTGTCATCTGCACATTCAAGCAGGTCACCATGGCAGCATTCCTTGTGGACTTTCGTAAGATCTGTCACTATCTTGGAAACCTCTGCAAAATCAGCCTTGGGAAATTTTTGGCTCAGGCGAGCTACTGCCCTAAAGAAGAAAATTCTCCCATCAGAATATTATTAACAGGCAACATTTTATATCAAGGCACTAGGAAAATACTACGTATAACAAGAAAATTTAGGATAAAATAACATAGAGAAATAATTTGTAAGATTTATTAGTTCTTATTTTAATGCTAATTCTGAACCAAATTGTTATCTTAGGGCAAAATGTTTCCTTAGGGCCTAATTATCCATTGTAGGAGTGTGTATCCTTGTTAGAAGTCCAGCAATTCATGAAAGCAGAAATCAAAGAGGGATTCTAAAAAAGGCAACATGCTGAGAGGCATCAGGTTTGGAGCCCAGAGCTGACTTCCAGATCTGGCTTTATAGCTTATTAACAGTGTGACCCTAGGCAAGTTACTTAGCCTTTCTGAGCTTCAGTCTCTACAGAGTCACAACAACATGCTAAACCAAAGGACTGTTGTGAGGATTAAATTAGATAATACATATGAAAGCATTTTATGAACTGGGAAGTGCCATACAAATTCCAGTTATCTTTTTTTTTATTAACTAAAACACATTCTTCCTGACTTCCAAAGGTCTCTGAGAAAAGAAATTTCATAACTTCTACAAAATTAGAGAGTTTTGATTCAGCATATTCTTACCAAGAAATTGATTCAGCATAATCTCTCAGCTCACTGACAAGATGTAAAAGGCTAACAACCACAAGCTTTCCCAAATCATTTCGGAGTTGCCTAAATCTGATAAAAGACACTTCTTTCCCCAAACTAATCATAGCCTGTTTAACTATGTATCATTTCATGTTAAGGTTGTTTCGTTTATTGATTTGGTTGCTTTTGGTGGTATAGATGGTAGGGATGACAGGCAAAGATAGTTCAAGTGCCAGTTTCTAGAGAGTTTGCAAAATATCTATTTTCATTTTATTTCCTGTTCGTGTTGACTAGAAGGGAGGGATTGGTGACGGGGGTGTGGGAGATGGAGAAGGGGAGTTCCTTGGCTCAGATACTGAAGGATGATGCTTCTAGAGCTAGCTAATAATATAAAAACAGAGGCCCAGGAAAAAACAAGACATTAAGCGCAGAACTGGTGCTACAAGAAAGTGAGAAGAAAACCTGATGGCTGAAATTAATTATCAGAACATAAAAAGACAAGCAGACACTTCAGATAATTGGGTGGAGGGGAGATAAAATTAAATAAAAGACCCTGACTACAGCTTTATAAAAACAGTGGACCATTATACTAAAATCACAGTCATTATAAATACATGGGAGTTTAAACACCTGTCCTAGAAGAACAAAAAAGTCCTCTAGATTCTTTGACTACTTAGAAAAGATATGATAAAAAAATAATGACAAATTGTTACTGATGCTCTGGTTTTCACCTCTGTCAAATTTCTACCTTTTAGACAACCAAAAAGATATATGTGAAAGCACTGCATAAAATGACATGCAAGTGTACAGTATTGTCATCTGAACCATCATCATTTACATCATTATAAAAATGCAAACTAAGTTTAACATACCATGCTTTTAGAGCTCTTTCTCCGAATTTTTGGATACTGGTACACTTGAGTCTCTGTGCGGCAGATGAAGCCAGTACTTCTTCTCTCACAGTCTCAATCTGCAAAAAGAAACAATTTTGGAAAAATTAGAAAAGAAAAATTTTACGCAGACCACCCCTTCATAAGCTCAGATGAGACTATGCCAAATTGAATTTTAAAGAGAGAATTTACCCCTAAATTCCCAAGTATCACTATTGGCAAATAACTATTTTGCTCTGTAGGAAGAGGAAAAGTCAGTCTGCTCATAGTGGAAACCTCCAGGTAGTTAAGAACCAGCATGGAGCCATTGCTAGGAGAAAGGGAACGGAAAGGAAAAGTGGAAGGACAGAGTATATTAATATCCCAGGGAACAGAACTTTGCTGACTTCTTAATTTTGCATATAACCCCTTTCAATGCCTCCTCCACCAACTCTCATAACATCAATAAACTCCCTATAAAAGAGAATGCAGTGTAAATATTTATGGAATGAATGAATAAACCCAGGCTTCTAGATGCAGTTAAATTCTCCCCTACTTTAAATTCCCTTCCGAATAAAAAAGTCTCATGAAAAGAGAAACAAACACTGTGTTCCCTTGCTGTGTAATTTTAAACATGAGTTTCTGTATTTCACTATAGCAACTTGCACTATTAAAAGAGGCAGGATATTTAGACACATACACAGCGATTCCCTCTACCAGATCCACTTAGGCAAATCTTAGAAGGAGGAAGGTGGAAGACATAGGCCTTCAAAAAAGATGAAAGATCTTTGCGGGGGGAAAGACGGAGGAAGGCTTTTTTGACCACGTAAAGAAGTTTCTGTTGGAGGCTTAGGTTTCCTAAATCTAACCATAAGATGTCCCAAAACTGAGATTTGATTATGAATTGATTCTTCTATTCTTCTTCTGGGGAATACCTTTGGTATCAGGCAGGCACCTTTATCAGCAGCTTGGCAGCATTCTGCAAAAACTCCTTTATATTGATGAGCATAGTAAAGGAGTTCTGGGGCATAAAAGTAGGGGTGTCTTCTGGCAATTTCATATAGGTATCTAAATTTTTAAACAAAAAACAGACAGCCATTTTTCTATAGCAGACAGTATTGCAGGAACACTTGTAATCTACATTCTCCCCAGAACCTCCAAAATCTGAAGACATCTAATTTACCAGTTAAGCTCAATTTGCACATAATGAACTTGTCTTTGTCACTCTTTGAGTCAGTGAAAATGTTAAACTCATACATATATATACATATAAATATACACACATGCATAAATTAGTTAAATATCAGTGATATGTTATTGACTAAAATGAAATAAATTCTGAGAATACTAAATATATATATATCTTTATAATATTTTAATACATGTTATCTTCAAATATTTTCATACAGATCATATCCTGTTTTGATGACCTCCAAAAGATCTTTGATCGACTTTTTCAACATGTAGAATTTTGTCGTATCATATATTATTATTATTATTTTTTTTTTTTAATAAATTTATTTATTTATTTATTTTTGGCTGTGTTGGGTCTTCGTTTCTGTGCGAGGGCTTTCTCTAGTTGTGGCAAGTGGGGGCCACTCTTCATCGCGGTGCGCGGGACCCTCACCGTCGCGGCCTCTCCCGTTGCAGAGCACAGGCTCCAGACGCGCAGGCTCAGCAGTTGTGGCTCACGGGCCCAGCCGCTCCGCGGCATGTGGGATCTTCCCAGACCAGGGCTCGAACCCGTGTCCCCTGCACCGGCAGGCAGACTCTCAACCACTGCGCCACCAGGGAAGCCCCTCATATATTATTTCTTTGAAAATTGTCATTAGAACAGAAGCTTCAAGTCTTAATGTTGATAATATTTTTCAAAATAGTAATTGTTATAATGAGTCTTGACCTATTCCATAATTTTTAATTTTGAAGCTTAAAAATCTGATTACTTACTTTCCCCAAAACTTCTGTTCGTTTTCCTTAAACTCGGCACACAAAGTATCAGGGTCTGGTTTCAACTTAGGGAGGTCTGGATTATCATTTTTGTGTTTCAGGAGGCATTCATGTCTCTCAGGCTCTTGTTTCACACAGCAGTCGGCCATTTCACCATAGGTTTCACGAAGGGATGCAACTGCACACAGTTTATCTCCAAAGAGATTGTGCTAAGTGAAAGAGAGCAGGTGTCAAATTGCTGGGCAGACTTTTGTTTTCCTTATACCCAAAGAATAGTATAAGGAATTAATATCTTGGTAAGCCTTGGTTAGTAAATCATATAAAAATCCACATTTTTCTCAGATTTAGAGACCTTCCCTTGATTTGACCATCTATGTGTGATTTCCATAAGAATTAACTGTCACACTATCACTTATAGTGGATAAAACAGAAGGGCAAAAAGACAATGACTTTAATGAATGAGCATAACTCCTATTTCCACCTGAGGCTAAAGGCTAGGAGAACAATCATTATAATAAAAACTCAAGGAAAAATATCCTCTAAGTAGCAAGTGAATTCACATTAGGGAGGGAAGTGTTCATATAGTTTCTCATTTGATCTGCTCCTTTTGAAGAGGTTCAACTTTTTAGTAGATACCATTCAAAACTGAGGAGTAACATAATCTACCATGCATTAGTTGTTATTGTATTAAAATATAGATTTTTTTTGTTCTAGAAATATTTGCCTCAATGCATATTCCATTAAATGAATCCTTTCTGTCCCCATTAATTTTTATTATGAAAGTAATTATAACTTCAGGGAAAATATGCTGCTCAAGACAGAATTTATTAATTTTTTTAAAAGACATTTTTAATATTCATATTTAGAGCAATATAATTGTGTGTAGCTGAAGAACTGATTCTGCCTTGAGGCAGAAGTACATATAGAGAAAAATAAGAGGAAGAAAGGCTTTAGTGATAAATAAAAAACTGCCTTGTCCCCAGAAAGGTATATATAGATTAAGTGGTGAGAGAAACATAAAGCTATCCTTATATTAAAGACCTATCTGAAAATATCACAAGTTCAAAGTTCTGATTTTTTATTGTATGTAAAAATATGAATATCCCTAAAATGAGGAATACATAGCTGTACTATTATTTCACCCGGGTAACAAAGTTAGCACAGAGATCAGGTGAGTACTTTCTGAAGATAAAAACTATACTATCATTATTAGCCTCTATGAAGAGAAATTTAACTTCAAATTTTAAAAAGAAACTTCTACAAATAAAAAATTTCCATTTAAAAACACTATGACTCTTGCGTGTGGTTTCAACAAAGAAATGTTTTTAAAATTGTGGGCATACTAGAATATATCTATCATTGAAGAAACAGTGGCTATATCCACTTTTGAGCGTTGCTTACAAATATGGTCATTTAGTAATAATTGAGAAAACTAAAGTGGTATTTGTTTTCTTTGTAAACATTCAAGATTACGTAAAGGAAGAAGAAGTACTATTCAAAATCAGAATATACTTACAAGTGGCTTGTCACAATTTGCAGCTGACTCATCAGCAACGCATGTTTTTGCAAGCTCAGTTACTTCATTCACTAATTTTACATGCTCATCAAACGGGCACTGCTGAAGATACTGAGAAAAGGCAATCAGCACCCTGAAACGAAGGACATAGAAAAATGTAGCATAATAAAATTTTAATATACAGTAGGTTGCTATGCTAGAAAACAAAGTGTGTCTGCATATGTTCTATATTTTACACATCTTTCTTACTATTATCCAGAAAGCCTGTTCACATCAGCTGTTATCTGAGGCCTAACCAGGTATGTGTGGCTTTCTAAGCAAAGATGATTATATTTCCACCACGTATAAAAATATGTGTGTGCATGTCAGTAGACGCACACACATAGAGCAAGCAAGCCAAATGTATTCTCAATAGACCTAATTGTTAAGACTGGGGCATTACATAGGCCTTTTGACTATTTAAAACAAAAAACAAAAACCACACACATATCTTATTTAATCAGGCTGTAGAATAAGATAGACCTTGAAAAATAAACTATTTTCTCAACTTTTACCAGATTAAAAAATATTAAAATCATCTCAAGAAACCACAGAACTATTTGCTAGGTAAAAGAATTTAGTAAGCAAGTTGTGAAAGGAACTTTCCACCATGCAGGTTATGTAAGAGTTCCAGGGCTACACTGTCCAAATAGTTGCCATTAGCCATAAGTGACAATATATATTTAAATAAATTTAAATTAAATACTGTTTAAATTTTTGGTCCACAGATGCACTTGTCATATTTAAAGTACTCAATAGCCACATGTGGCCAATGGCAACTATATTGGACTACACTGATATAGAATATTTGCATCAATGCAGAAAATCCTATTGGACAGTACTGTTCTAGAATCTTTGATGACAGTGGAATATAAGGACTTCAAAATTACAACCAATACTATTAGAAACGTTAAATTTTCATTCTTAAATATTTTAACTTACAGGCCTTTGAAATTTTCTTCTCCCAAATCATTAAACCGATGAGCAATCTCACTCTTGTCTGAGGGAAAAAAAGGGGAAAAAAAGATTTGCTTTAAATTCTAAAGAAACAACTGGTTAAGATATTATTTTTTATGTTTCTCTCCATTTGACTTAGGTATTCATTTGCTCCAAGATATTGAGCTCTGACTCCCAACAGAAAATCTTAGGATGACGGTGAACTATTTCTTCTGCATTTAAGCAGAAGAGTTATTTAATCTCAAATGATACTATTTGAAAAATCATTAAATATTTATAGCTTTATATTCAAACCTGGATAAGATCTAATGCCTTTGCAGTGTCTATTAACAGCCACTGAGAGGACAGTCTGAAATGAAAAATATAGATACAAGTTCTATTTATAAGATTAAAAACACAGGTTTTATATTTTTTTATATAAGTTAAGGTACAGTGGATAGACCTTTGGGAATCTGGAGTTTTGAATTCTATCTTCAACTATATTCTGTGAAGTTTAATTCACTCTGCCTAAGTTCCCTCAATGTGCAATAGCAAATAACAGTTACTAAACAATTCTCACTATTTGTTTCACCTAGGATGTTAGAAATATAAGATAACTTCTTAAGGGTTCACAAATACAAAATATAACAGTCTAGAAAATAAATGCTAAAGGAAAAATTACTTCATTAAAGATTCAAGGTTTACTGAAACCTTCTTTTACTAGGAAAATAAAATAAAAGTTGAACAGTAGAAAAATAGAATTCTTACGTGTATCTCGACGAAACACACCCCTGGAATAAGCAGAGCTGAAGAGAAAGATAAGGGAAATAAAAGTCACCCACTTCATTGTGCCAAAGCCTTGTGGGGTTGATAGAAGAGAAAAGGTAGGATGAATAGAGGGAGATCAGCGCTAATATACTTCTTTAGCCAATAATTGTAGATTATTAACTAGACTCATCTTTGTATTTCATTGGCTCACAACTGATTACAAAAGTCATAGTATTCTTGCCAAAAAAATTGTTTGACTAAATCCGTTGCGTATGTTTGCGATCTGGAACTGTTTTCTCCACAAGACCTTGTCAATTCATTAGTTATGTAAAACACCTTATCAAATTTTACATAAGAGTTTAAACAATTTGTACGATTACCGTGTTCTCTGTGATTTACCATTTGAACATTTGAGTTTTCAGTATTTGCAAAAATTTAACCAAACCAATAACTTAGCTTGGAAATAACATATACTAAAAGAGCTAAGCTCTGCACTGATTCTATTACTAATTCAAACTGTACTTTTATTGATAAATAATGAAAAATGTATTCATACACACACACATTTGAGAACTAAGGAAAAGCCATAGCAACAATAATAACTGAAATGGATACTCAAAAGTCCTACATTTTCATCTCAGCTCTGGCCCACATGTGGTTCAGGCCCTAGAGCAAAGTACTTAGAGGCAATGTGGGTGTCTCTCATGAAATAGACATGGGGAAGAAAATGGACACAGTGGCAGTAATGATGATCTTTGCCATCATAATATACACAGGACAGGCTGAGCCTGATTACACCTTTAGTGGTTATAATAATACTAGATCTTCTTTACTAGGCATCATATTCTTTCCATCCCTATTTCATGCTTTTTTCCTTTCTCTCTTTTAATAAAAAGAGAAGTCACATGCTCTTTTTTAATGTTATTTTAAATTTCAAAATAAATTTAACTTCATGTCTAAAAACAAAGCAAAACAAAGATAATTTTTTGAAAATGTTTTTTCAAACTTCCTTTCTTATTCTCCCCACCCAAGATTCTGATCTCTACCTCTGAATGACTATTCTCTCTCTGCCCTTTTGCTCTAAAAGATGAACTATGCATTTCAATCAGTGGGAAAGTTGACCCTCTCTGATACTACAGAACAATAATTAGTACCAAGCCAATCATTTCATTTAATTAAATAACCGAGTCAACTAAAACTGTCAGTCATTTTGCCCTATGGCACATATAGACTCAGAGACTAGTAAATACTCAAGAGAAGAATTATTTTTCCTATTCAGTCATATGGTGAAAGAAATACACTTTCTATGATCTTATTTCATTTTATTTCATTTTCAAGGTACTAATTAAATAATCAAGCACAGAAGAGGAGATAATAGAAAAACAGGTGATAGATTTTTAGATAGGTGACCGAGATAGGTAATATACATACAGATGATAGCTAGCTAGCTAGAGCTGATAAGAGTTTTTTTAATGTCTCAAGGGAGTCCGAATAAGGGAGCCAGACTTGTCTTTCCAGCCATAGATGAACAGAAGTAAACGAATATCTGCCGATGGAATTATTTCCATTGGAGAAAACCATTTCTTTGAAGCCTGATATTGCATACTGTAAAAGAATGAAGGAAACTATGCTGATTTTCTGAATAAAAAAATAATTCCTTTTTGGGTAAATGAAGTCAACTTTTCTTTTAGCCTCCAAGAAAAAGTAGGCACTTTTATTTGAAGTCAGTATTCAACCCTGGCCTTTTCCTTAAAATGAGTCTTCTGGGAAAGCTTGATCAAACACACAATCCTTATCATTGGACTTAATTGTATGACTAATTCACAAAATCAGGCCTTTAGCATTCACACATATACTTTGTGCATATTTTTTTATTTAACAAATGAAGAGAATAATATTAGTTTTTCCACCTACTTCGCACTGTAACATTATACTGTACTATAATAGTAATAGAGAAAACCAAAAGAAAATCAAATTCATTATGATTCTAGAAACCTAAAATTGATATTCCTATATTTAATGAAGATTGCATAATTTTCAAATATAAAACTGAAACACCTGAAAGAATCTTACTAAAAGTATCAATAATGCATTTTCCATATGTGTATCCTTTTTAAAGACTAGCAGATGGTTGAGAAATTAAAATATTTAATTCTTAACACTATTTGTTTAAAATTTATCTTAATTAATAAGTATCCCTTGAATATTTGCATTTTGTGGGTTCCCAAAGTAAGGATACCTACAGTTTTCTTCGATTAATTCTTCATGTACATTATAAACTGAAAGAAAAATGAAACTACATAATTGTTGGTTATTTCTAAATATTCTGTTCTTCAAGCTTTTAAAGTCATATTTAGTTAATCATCAAAGGAGTCTGGCATGGGAGTAAATGCAAATATTTAAACCAAGAGTTAAAAATACGTCTTACAGATTCTAGTTTCTTTTTATGGAAAAAGTTTAAAGAGAGAGTGGTTAAGATGATTACTTCATATGCAAAGGTTAATAATGTACTGATCATTTAGAAGAGAAAAAAAATACCTCAGTTGAAATATAACTGGGAATTAAACCTGAGCCTTTATCCCTTTCGTCCTTTATTTTTGCATTCATTTTGACAGGATAGAAAAGGCACAGTTTTGAAGCAAATGAAATCTCTCTTGAGACCAGTCCCCTACTTCCTTGCCCTGCTAATCATAACCTTAAACCTACAGCCTCCTACCACACTCTGAATTCCTGAAGTTTCTCACCAAGTCATCCAAACCAGCTTTCCTTCCAACTGTCCATCTTCTTGGTCCAGCCCTTATGCCATCTCCTTCTGTGATAGATTATTACTTCTGGGTTGTCTTCTCTCAGAAAAAAAGTGAAACATATGCATTACAATGTGACAACAATGTCGGATAATAGCCTCAGTATTTTAATAGAGACTTTCTAGGAACACTTAACCCAAAGTCATTCCAAAATAAGGGAAATTTGGATCTTTTTGGAGAGAAATTCAAGAACAAAAAAATCTCTTCTTAGCATTTTTCCTATTATACTATGGACATATGTGTGGATAGGTAGGGTAGATCCTACCTATCATGAAGGCTCTGGACTGCTTTCTAAAACATACGAAGGGTAGAAAAGTAAAAGACTAAAATTAAGCATCAAACTAACTAATTGAAACATGGTAAGCAATTTAATTTCTTGTTCACTTGTGAAGATATATTTCCCATTAATAAATAAGAAAATAAATTGTCCAAATTGTATGAACTTATACAGGCATCTAATGCAAAGAAAAAATTGTAATGTAATCCAAATATCAATTGTCCCCTCATGTCCCTCCATAAACAGTTGCATTAGTGAGAAAATTCTTTGCTGAAAATTTCATAGGAAACAAAGAAAAGAAAGTTCACATTATGAAAACCATACTAGATCACCACTGTTGGCTTGTCCCATCTCTTAAGTCCTCTCTCCAAAGCTCCCATGGCAGGAGGGTCCCTTTTCCACCTTTCCTCATGTTACGCTGGGCCTCTAGAAATTACATGTACCTTCTCTCAGATTTCCTAACCATTTACTTCAAACTTCTCAACTCTTTACTATGCAGTTTAATTCAGCTCAGTGTCAATTTCTAGCTCCAAACTTGAACATGCAGATCTAGTTATATCTTTATGCTATATGGGTCAAGTTGAATGAAATCATCTTTAAGGACCCTTCTACCTTGAACATTCTGTGATTTCATATTCCTAATGAAACAGTCATAGCATGAGAAAAGGGTCTGACTGTTAGAATGAATATAACAAGTTAGGAAATTGGGATACAAATCTGAGAATTGGTCCATTGCTAAGCTGCCCAGTGGCTCATCAGGCATTACTCTCTATCCAATTCAGGTTTAACATTTTTAAGAAATGAAAAGATCATTTAACTTGTCTAAATTATGGAAATAAAATGACACTTTCTCACATCTTTCTAGCATTTTTCCAATACAAGAAAAATATAGCTAATGCCTGAAATCCATGTTTATCCATTCTCTGTATAAGTTAACAACAAATAGTCTATAAACATAGAAATTGAAATTAATACTAGTGACTCCTATCTCATAATAGTAGCTACAGATGGACATCAAACAGAAATTAATACACTGCTGAGAGTTTAATAGTGCTTAGTCTCTTCATATTCTATATATTTTTTCAAGTATAATTCAAGAGACTTACTACCTATAAAGGAGATTAGTTTAAAGGTACAAAATGGAACTATTTTTAACCTCTTGTAAAACAACAAAGGTTGTGTAGCTAAAATATTCTTATGTTAAAACGTCAGTGGATCAAATTTAGGAAGTTTTCATTAAAGGATAAAAATTGTTTTCTCCTTCATGTCTTCTAAAGCTTAAAATTAATCAAATGTTTTGTAATCTTACAGTGCTGGACTTTAGCTGAAACTCCTCTGGCTGGCCACCCAACTGAGCCATGAAATTTAAGTCTTGAAATTCTCGTTACCTTTTTAAGCATCCATATATGGGTTAACATCAAGAAATGAATTATTTGATCCAAAAAAACTTGTAACTTTTAAGAAATATATCAAATAAATAATTGGCCTAATCTTTTTTAACGAGAAATTCATCTCTAGCCTAATTATAATAAACTATACAGTGTAAATATTTTGAAAATGATTTTAAATATAATTATTGCACATATAAGCAATGAATTGTTCAAAATTAGTTTTTCGTGATATAGACATTGAAAAGAACAAAATTCTTTTATTAGAATAGTATGTATAGGTTTGAAGTTTCTGTTTGCAAAAATAGCTATTTGATAATAATATGTTGCTATAAAAATATACATTCAAATAGCATAAAGAAGTAATTTCAGTAACGTATGATGTTGACAATGGCAATTTCTTTCCAAAGTACTTTTGATTCACAGTTGTGAGATATGCAGTATATGTAATACGTGTAGCTTAATTATTAGATGAAATATATACAATTACTATTTCAATTTTAATTTTTATATTTACATTAGATATTCATTCATTCATTAAAATTAATATAATTTGGCCTCTCAGCATTTAATGTCTTGAAGGCAAATGCTGTTATTGATGAGTCCAAATTTCTCTTTGTTATTACATGGAAAATTGGCAAAAACTG